GAAGGCTTGTGGAACCTATGGATACCTGTATGAGTATGAGTATTTAGTAGATTTCTTTTGCTCTTTTACTGAGAGTGATGTCCCATAGGAAGGGTGCATTTGGTTCGTCTTTGAAAATGGGTTTGGGGCTCTAAAGGCCCTTGGGCAAATGCTAAGTGTTTGGTAGCTTTTTTGGAAGAGCTTATGGGTGATGCATTGCATTTTCAAATTCCTCCAAAGGCCCTTAGCCCAATGCAAGTCCTACCTAGTTTTGGTCTTTGAGCATTTCCGGAATGCTAATGCATTTTTGTCTTCCAACTTTGCCCTTGCTAAACTTTTGAAATTCTAGTTTTACCCTCACCATTTTCACTGGGCAGCCTCACGCGGCGTTGCCGGCGAGCCTCGCCTAAAGTCATGCAACCCTAGGCGGCCCTCATTAAGCCAAGGTCGTGGACCCTGAGCGGCACTTGGCAAGGGCTGCCGAGGTGGCACAACCTTAGGCGACGGCCGTCGGTGCCAGATCTGCCCAGCTGTGGCTTGCCGACGTCTGGCGGTCACAAGTAGAATTTTGAAAGTTTTTTCCATATAGCATTTAGACCAAAGTTAATTGCCATGGCACTTTTCAATTATACTTTATGAAACACTATTTGCGTAAAAAGCTTTTTAACCTAAAATCTTTGCGTTTTCCCCAAAGACTTTCTACAAATGCCGAACCAAATGTATCTGGAGTCTTCCTACTTAAAGCATAGCTATATAAGCTGTCTGACACTTGTTCCCTATTATCATATATGCAGCTTGATAGTGCCACTAGAGCAAGGGAACTAATTTTTGAAGGGAAAAGTTATGCATTCGGCAATGAGGCGTATGATCAGTTGTTAGGCGCAGGCCTCTCTAACCTTGAGTATGGCTACCTTTGTGAGATTATGGGCCAATCTGTTTGGGCTCCACAGATATTTAATTGCGGTGCACCGGATACTGGAAATATGGAGGTAAGATATGTATTGATTATTTAGGCAATGAACCAATTGCTCTATCTTTACTGCCTTTATCTTGTGATCTAGTTTGAAATTATCTTTGTATAATCTCTGGTTGAAATGGACCTATCTATATGGGACTTAAGCAGGGATGATGTGAGTTTGCTAGGCAATGGTGCACATAGATGTGGAAGTTTATATACATTTTTTGATTCCAGAGGGGGAAAATGTACAGTTTGGAATCTGCCATCATTTACGCATGTGTACTCTCAGTGTGCTTCACTTGCCATTTTAGCCATTTTGCACCATGGATATCTTGACATATGTAAATTTGTGGCATTTGGATTTTATGCCACTCTTGTTTTGTGTAGCATAAATCTGATAGTCACAATGCTTTTCCATTTAAATCAGGTATTGTTGCGATATGGAAATAAAGATCAACTAAATGAATGGCTTATTCCTTTGCTCGAGGGGAAAATCCGATCAGGATTTGCAATGACAGAACCACAGGTTGCATCTTCTGATGCAACCAATATAGAATGTTCTATCAGAAGGTAGGTTGATGGAGCATATCCCGGATAGGATTGTTGGTGATGCAAAAGATAAAGCTTGAATTTAAATATTGTCAGTGTTGTGTTTTTCCTGCTAAAAACTATTTGAAGTATGCCTCACCTGATTGGTTAAGCGTCTCCCACACTGTTGATGTCATTATTGGATTCTCCTCAAACGCGCCCGCCCCCCACCCCCACCCCCCCCCCAATTTTGAAGAAAACCACACGAAGAGATTGACTTTACTTGTCTGCATGCTCTCTTTTTGAAGACTAGGAGATTCGTACGTCATCAACGGTAAGAAGTGGTGGACAAGTGGAGCCATGGATCCAAGATGCAGACTTCTTATAGTAATGGTGAGCTCATTTGCATTGCTGTTTTGAGTTGGATTTGAGATTGCTTTTTACACAGAAATTGTGATGTCAATTGTCAGGGGAAAACTGATTTTTCTGCTGCCAAGCACAAGCAGCAATCAATGATTTTAGTGGATATTAAGTCTCCAGGTGTTCATGTAAAGAGACCACTCATGGTTTTTGGATTTGATGATGCACCTCATGGACATGCAGAAGTTTCATTTGAGAATGTATGTGTACCAGCAAAGAATATCCTTCTGGGCGAAGGTCGTGGTTTTGAAATTGCACAGGTAGGAATCAGGAGTCAAGTTTTCATTTGCTGGTAACTTAATAGCTCAGATGACTAATGTTATTTTGAGTCACCCGACTTAGTTCTCGGGAAATGTCATTGCTTGAATTATTTTGGGCAATTGAAGAACATATTTGCATTTTATTACTTAGGCAATTAATTGATATTTCTGTTTCTGTACCAGGGAGAGAGATGCTTTACTTGGGGAGATGTCTGATTGTTCATTTTGTAATGAGTTTTGTTTTTGGGATAGAAGGGTGTTTTTTTTTTTTTTTGTCTTTTTCTTTGGGAAGAGAAGAGGCAGGTTGGGGGAGGGGGTAAAGATGACATAGACAAAATATTTCCCGAGGACGCGGTACATATATGTTGATTGGATTCCCAACTTATTTTTTCTTGATTTTACTGACGTAGGTGCCGTTAATATCAAGATTGATGGTTGTCAGCTCCAGATATGGGTAATTGCTGATTTTAATAGTTCCCTAAATCATGCAGGGTAGGCTTGGTCCCGGAAGATTGCACCACTGCATGAGATTGATTGGTGCAGCTGAACGTGGCATGCATATGATGGCTCAAAGGGCTCTTAAAAGGAAAGTCTTCGGGAAGTTGATCGCAGAGCAAGGATCATTCTTGTCAGATATGGCCAAGGTAATTTATGGGTCAGAAAAAAAACAAGAGCCCATTCCTTTTTAAGCAAAAGAAGATTAGATGAAAGATTGACCTAAAAATAGAACGCAAACCATTTGATTAGTAGATAAACCATGAACGTTAGCACATACTCAGAGCGGAGTCCTTACTGGATATATCTCTGATTGTTAGATGATTGAAGTAGATGAGGTAGCGAACTTAGAAGCCATGTCAGATGAATGTCTACCGAAAGGTTAAAATGTTTATGATGAGTCTCGACGGATAAGTTTATTAATTATATGGATGAGGATATTGTTTTTGAAACAGAATTAGAGTTGTATTAGAATCAACATATGAATTAACTTTTTTTCTTGGTTAAAACAAACATTTTCTTTACTTTGTGGCATTTCGACATCGATACTGATAATGTCATTTGCATTGTGAAGTGTCGGATAGAGCTGGTTAGAACTAGACTGCTAGTTCTGGAAGCAGCTGACCAGCTTGATCGGCTTGGGAACAAGAAGGCCCGTGGAACCATTGCAATGGCCAAGGTATTTGAAAGCTTTTGAACAAGCAACCTTTTTGTGGATAATTATCATCCATTTGCTTGACCTGGTTCTGGATTTGCTTGTTTGCCATATCGAGCAGGTAGCAGCTCCCAACATGGCACTGAAGGTGCTTGACATGGCTATGCAAGTGCACGGCGGAGCCGGATTATCTTCAGATACTGTCCTATCACATCTCTGGGCCACGGCAAGAACTCTAAGAATCGCGGATGGTCCGGATGAAGTCCATTTGGGCACGATCGCCAAATTAGAACTTCAGAGGGCCAAACTCTAAGGAAAGCCTGGAGAAAAATCGAAGCAGAGCACCTTTTCCTAGATAAAGGTTAGAATACTCTGAAATGAAGCATGCCAATCATTCCTTGTGTAATGAAAGCAAATGATCATATATTCGTAACTTTTAGCTGGAATGGCTTTGGCTGCTTGAAATTAATCTTCTGCTGTTAATAAAAGCTTGAGAAGAATCAGGGAAGAAAAGGATTAATCACTTTGTAAGTGTGTATTCAATTAATGGCAGAATATACTGTAAAAGACTATGCTGGCAATGCCGGATTAAGTAATTTCTTCTTCTGTTTTCTTTTCAATAACACGATTGAGTCTTATACCGTGAAGGGGTCAGCTATCTTTTCCTTCTGGAAATTTTTTAGATGCAACGCGAGCGAAGCTATATATGATCATCTGTTTACACAGGTCAACTTCGTTATCCTTGATTTACACAATCATTAAGTAGACAAGAACCGTTTCTTGTACCAAAATAGCGATAAAGGTGACTTGTGCTGAATAGTTTTTCTTAACCTGTGTACCAATTGACTAATCCCCCCCTGGAATGAAATTTAATGCTTCTTCATAAGTAGTCGTATAAGCCATGAGATACTAGAGATTAGGGGTGTGCAAAATGGATTGCCCAAACTAGGAATCATCCGGACCGGATCGGACCATGGTTGGGTCCGGTTTTTGGGAGTATCAGTCCGGTTTCTGGTTCCTAAAAATGGAACCGGTGTCCAGAAAGTCGGGTTCCCGGTTCCAAGGAGGAACCGGATCAACTACATATATATATATATATATATATATATATATATATATATATATATATATTTTCAAAAAAATTAGTAAAATACGAACTAAAACCTAAGAGAACTTCATTGATAAAAATTAATAAAATGTGAACTAAATCATAAGTGAATTTCATTGATATAAATTCATTGACAAATAGTAAAATGTTAACTAAATCCTAAGTGACCGGTTCCATTAGACGGGATCGGGGTCTTAGGACTAACCGGTCTGGTCCATGGTTCCCTATTTTGGGAACCGGTCCAGTTCGGTTCCGAGGTGAAATCGGGAACTGGACCGGGAACCGATCATCCCTATTAGAGATCATGCAGGTAATGTCGTGGGATGGAAACAAAAAGAGAATAGGCTTTCAATAGACGATAATGAGCAAATGAAATATAAAGATTCTCAATAGAAACTCTTAAAATTAAAATTAACTTATGTCACTCTTACAATATGTATCATTTATCATTAAGGGATTTTTCTCGAGTGGAGTGCTGGTTCTTTTTCTAACCACGAATCGGCTTTCACGGTCAATTGAATTCTAAATCTTTAGAAACTTTCATTTTAGTTCATATGAAACCGGCGAAACAGACCCTTGTGTCACGGAAAAAATAAAAAACTAGTTCCATATATTTTGTGCACCGTAGTTAGTATGTACGTGCTACAATCTATATGACAAACAAGTCTATACAATGCTTTTTTCTCTCCGCCTAATGACAGGGCAATGGATGAACCCATCATCATCCCATCGAGAAATAAATGGCAAGCGGCCTTCGTTTTATCACGGCATATCAATTTGACACCATCAGTTTCAATGAGGGGACTCGAAACCGTATAAAGTTAGCCTCAAACAAAGAGAACCCTTCATTGCAACTATCCGTTTTAGCAAAGTAACAAACGGGAAAACCAGAACAACCGTCTCTTCTATCTCGGAAATCAAATGTCACCTGAGGTTTCCCAACAGAAAAAACTGTCACTTCCTATGCTTCTTTCCATTTCTGTCTCATCTTTTTTCCCTTCCTCACGTTCAAAAACAGCGCCCCCCTCTCTTCCCATAACCTATTAAAGCCAGAGAGCCATAGGAGGATCAGAGATCCCGACAGATGAAGAAGAGAGTCCCAAGACCTCTATTGACATTCATCTGTTTCGTAGCTAATTTCCGATAGTCCTCGATTCCGCGATCATTCCACTAGTTTGTTGTATTTTTCAAGTGAGTGGAAGTGTGGGGAGGGAAAAAAAAGATGAGCGGATATGATCGCTTCTCCGGCCCTACATGGCGAGGAAAGCGCACAGCATACGCCATTGGCGGGGTTGGCATAGTATTTGTTGTGGCGGTGGTGATAGGCGTGGCCGTCAGCGCCAGCAGCAGAAGCAGCAGCTCCAGCCAATCCAGTGCCGGTACCAGCGGCGGGGTATCCACCTCGATGAAGGCTATCCAAGCCATATGCCAACCCACTGATTACCGGGAAGCCTGCATGAGTAGCCTTTCATCAGCGGGCGGGAACACCACCGACCCCAAAGACCTCATCCAGATGGGCTTCCAAGCTGCGATCAAACAAGTGAAAGCAGCGATTAAGAACTCCACTGTCGTGAAGGATCTTGCGAAGGACCCGAGATCCAAGCAGGCCCTGGAGACGTGCCAGCACCTCCTGGAGTACTCGATTGACGACCTCCAGAGCTCCTTCGAGAGGCTGGATGGGTTCGATGTGAGCAAGCTCGACATGTACATGGCCGACCTGCGGGTCTGGCTCAGCGGGGCAATCACATTCCAGGAGAGCTGCCTGGACGGCTTCGAGAACACGACAGGCGCCGCCGCGAAGAAGATGAAGCAAATCCTCCAGAGCTCCAGGGAGCTCACCAGCAACGGCCTCGCCATGGTCACTGAGATCTCCTCGCTGCTCAGCTCGTTCAACATCCCCGGTTTGAGCCGGCGCCTCCTGTCTGAGGAGCAGGATGGTTTCACCGAGTTCCCATCGTGGGTGGACAAGGGGCGGCGCAAGCTCCTCGCGGCAGCACCTGCGGACATCAACCCCGACGTGGTCGTGGCCCAGGACGGGAGCGGCAAGTACAAGACCATCCGTGAGGCTCTGAACGACGTTCCTAAGGAGAACAACAAGACCTTCGTCATACACATCAAGGAAGGAGTGTACAAAGAGAAAGTATTGGTAGACAAGAAGACGACCCATGTCATGATGGTCGGTGATGGCCCCACGAAGACTGTGATCACTGGGAGCTTGAACTACGTCGATGGAGTCCAAACCTGCAACACCGCAACATTCAGTACGAAAGAGAAAATACATCATTTAGCATTTTCACCTGAATTCTTCATTAATTTCATCTACAAGACAAGGGCTAATAAACCAAGTCAACTTATGTTTCAGCTGCCATAGGAAGCAACTTCATAGCCAAGGACATCAAGTTTGAGAACTCGGCGGGCGCCGAGAAGCACCAGGCCGTGGCACTACGCGTCCAGTCCGACATGTCCGTGATCTATAATTGCCACATGGACGCCTTCCAGGACACGCTCTACACGCACGCCCACCGCCAGTTCTATCGTGACTGCACCATCTCCGGTACCATCGACTTCATCTTTGGCGATGCGCTTGCTGTCTTCCAGAACTGCCAGATGTTCGTGAAGAAGCCCCTCGAGAACCAGCAGTGCATCGTCACTGCATCGGGACGCAGCGAGCGCCGCTCCGCCTCCGCCATCATCCTCCAGAACTGCACCATCTCGGCTGACCCCGCCTACTACCCCCTGCGGAACATCAACAAGGCGTACCTCGGTCGCCCATGGAAGGACTACTCGAGGACGGTCATCATGCAGTCCCAGATCGATGACCTGATCCAGCCGCAAGGTTGGTTGCCATGGATGGGCGACTTTGCACTCAACACGTGCTTCTACGCGGAGTACGGGAACAGAGGGGCCGGCTCGGCGACGAAAGAGAGAGTGAAGTGGCGCGGGATCAAGAACATAACCGCGCAGCACATCACCAACTTCACACCGAAGGTCTTCTTCAAGGGTGACGCTTGGATCACCACCACCGGAGTGCCTTACAGTCCCGGGATCATGACTGCTTAAACGGAGCTCAAACCAAAGAAGAAGATCGTTACGTGTTTTATAGGCGTAGTTGTTAATGTATGTTTTTTTTTTTTAGGGGAAGCTGACTCCTGCATTTCAGCTTTCAAGTTTTTGTTGCGAGAGATGGGAGAATGATGGTCATGTAAATTCTACTTCCTACTGCTTTTTTACTTATAATATACGTAAAAACAGTCGGTCAAAGTGATTAATTTGAATCGTATGTCCAAGATTCTCTCACAAAAGCTCAATTAGAGAGACTCGTTTTTACTTGTAGAGCTAATTTTTGGAGAAAGTAGTTGAAAGGGAAGCACACAAATTGAACGATGAAGCAATTCAAAGAGAGATTGCTGTTTAGAAACGTCTAGCTATATACCTCGATATGAATTTGTAATGAGGCAAATTAAACATAATAAGCCCTAGGCTAAACCACGTATCTCTATCATGCATGACTTGCCAAGTAAGAAAAAGGCTACGGCATAAGGAACAAATACAGATCAGGAAATAAAGTTGCTTCCAATGGAGAAACTACATAGTCTCAATTTTTGCGCGCGTGCACACCAATAATAACAAGGGTTAATATCATGAAAAACCCCAAACTGGTATGCGTGTGACAAATTTACTCCAAATTTATTTTTTGACCACCAAAAGCCCAAATTGGTACACCCGTGACAATTTTATCCTCAGTTAGTTTCCGTTAAATTTTACTGTCAAATTGCTGAGTTGGATGACACGTGGAAGTCAACGGGTCTACTAGTTTAGGGTTTTACGCTTCCATTTGTTACAGGTGTACCGATTTATGATTTTCGTGGTATTAATCCAATTTAACGGAGGATAAATTTGTCACAAGTGTACCGGTTTGGGGTTTTTGATGGTAAAAAAATTAGTTTTTGGTAAATTTTGTCACATGTGTACCAGTTTAGGGTTTTGATGGACAAAAATTAATTTAAGGTAAAATTGTCACATGTTTACCGATTTGGGGTTTCATGGTATTAACCCTAATGACAACAATCTTAATAGTAACGATTCCCACTCTACACTTGTAGTCTTCAAACCCATCAAAGAATTTATGTACCTTGTTTGGCCACCTTACGAAAACAATCCCCAAACACATTATCCTCCAAATATAGTTTCGTTAGGCATCAATGTCTTTGTCATGAGACAAGTCGAGAACCTCAAAATACTCATAGCAAGCCAAACTTTTGCGTTTAGTGAAATTCAAACTTATCAAGATTCGGCTAAAGGATCATAGATAGCAACTCCTTTGGGCATTCGACTTAAGAATCGTTGGATCGACACAAAAGATGCATCTTCGAGTTTTTCCTAAATGACAGAACTTGAAAGTCCTCGACGTAGCACCTCGAATTTTGCAAACCAGGGTCGCTAGCTAGTACCGCCTTCGCTGCCCAAATTAGAAGATCACCCCGTCGACCCCAACAAGAGAGACCATAGAATTAGCTAAATGGGCTTTTATAATATGCGGTTCAAGAGCCACAAACCTTTTTGTTAGTGCCAATTTGCCAAGGCCCCGACGAAGCATTTTCATCTGATAAAAAGAAAATGGCTTAACACTACGAAAAATTTCAAATCGGTATACTTATGAAAAATTTACTTTGAATTAATTTTTTAACCACAAAAAACCTCAAAATGGTACACCTATAATAAATTTACCAAAAACTAATTTTTTGAGCACCAAAAACCCCAAACAGGTACATTTACGAAAAAATTTACCCTTCGTTAAATTAAATTAATACAACGAAAAATCACAAATTGGTAAAAATGTGACAAACAGAGGGGTAAAACTCCAAACTGATATACCCATTAACTACCACATGCAATTTAACTTAGCAATTTGACTGTAAAATTTAACGGAAACTGACGGAAAGTAAATTTGTCACAGGTGTTACAATATGGGGTTTTTTGTAGTAAAAAAATTGGGTAAATTTGTCACACTTTTACCAGTTTAGGGTTAATACCGAAAAAATAATTTCCTCGATGTTAAGAACCTCAAAACTTGGGGAAATTCCAAATAAGGACTTGAAATGGACTTTATGTCAAATAAGGATCTGAAGTGGCATATTAGTCTCAAATAAGTGCTTGAAGTGACCATGCCGGTTTCAAATAATGGTTTGACCTCGCCAGTTACTGGCCAGAGAAATATTTTGGCCGATCAAGGGCATTTTTGTCCAAAAAAAATTTCAATTTTAAATAATTTTTATTTTTCTAGTTTTCTCTTTGTCTTTGCCGGTGGCTGGTCGCCGGCCACTAGCGATGTCACGTCTCGACCCGAAATCAAGATTTGATGCTTATTGATCAATCCCGATCCGTTCGGACTCATGACTCGCGGAAATAAGTTTGTGCGTCCCGTTCATTTTAATCAATGCGCATGCGGAAGCAAAAATAAACGAAACATCACAATAGCAACATAAGCAGACTTCGCACGTTATATTTACATGATACGTGCTTATTTTCACAAGCCCTACTCTCGGGCCATGCAAACCGCACACATATATTTTACATGCCCATTTCAAGGGCGATTCCGAAAAACAAGCCAACTCTCGAACAAACAAAACTTTGGCTTGGCTTAGGGTTCCTAACTCCACTACGGCTTCTCGCTCCTCGCTCCTTGGTCCTCCCGCTCCCCGTCCGTTCGGCCGTCCCACGCTCCACCCATGGCCTCTCCAGAGCCGGCCCGCCTGGTCCGCTGAACGGCCCGTTGAACCCACATAGGGGTCCAACCCACTCTCCATTTGCGAGGCAATACCATGCCTCGTACGGGTGGGGAACTAAGTCCTCACGGCCTTCATCAACCATAACATACGTCGTGATCCGACGATAAGCGCGACCCTCCGGGCATCTATTATAGTGAGCAATTCGGCTCTCATCTCGATAGGGTTGCCAAACAGGTCGGGGGAGATGCCATACTATGGACCTGAAAAGAGAAAAAATAACGGGGAGTGAGTCGGGGAGACTCAATAAGTGAAAACACTAATATCAAGCGAGGATGAGACAATCGCCATTCACATTTATTGGCTCTTACCGTACCGGCATCGATGACAAATCAATAGCAAAGTTCGTGCTACGAAACAACAAAAGAACATCAAACATGATTATCACACGTGAGCATCACTTGTTAAAGAAAGAACAAGCTATAATCGACCAAGAAACCAAGAAACGGCCCAAGCAAACGTATCACAACTTCCTTTCCCGATATTAGGGAATTCACTTACACAACGTAACACTAGAACACGAGAGACTAAAGAAAGCAAGTGGCTTGAGCACGGAAAAAGGCTTGAGTTCGGGAAAAAGGGGATCTCGGGTGGTTCTCGGGTGTGACTTTCTAGTTGGCTGAAAAAAGGAAAGGTTGGTGGGGCTTCTTTCGGCGTGAATCAAGGAAGCAAGAAAGTAAAAGGAGAAGATGATGGCTGGTTGGGGGGCTTCTTCACGTGAGCTTCTTGCTCATTTATAGACAAGCCAAGCTTGGAGAAGAAGCAAGGCAATAATGGAGGGCTTCCAAGTCAAAGAAGCCTTAATGGCACTAATGAACTAGGGCCAAAAGAAATGATGAATGGCTATTAAGTGACTTAAATGTGGCCTTATCCTCCTTAGTCTCTCTCTCTCTCGGCTTCTCCCTCTCTTGGCCGACTCTCTCTCTCTCTCTCTCTCTCTTGGCTCCCTCTTCCTTGGCCGACTCCCCCCCCTTTTGTTTTATGTGTATTATTGATGACCACGAGTCACCTTGCATGCAGCCTTAATAAGGCTGAACATCTCACCTGCCAAGCAATAAAGGAGGGGGACACTTAAGGGGGTTCAATAATAATGGCCTTAAATGGCTTTTAATGAGCATTTGACTTGATCAACAATTTTTGTCTTCTTATCCTCTCCATAGCTGAACCGTGAGAGACTTCCTAAGTATGCAGGTTTCATTCCCAACTACTTGGGCCAATCGGTTTACACAAAACCGACTAATCAATACTAACTTAGCAATCTCACATCATACTTGTTATGTTAATTTTCCGAGGGTTTTTTTTTCCACGCTTGGTATACCCGTTCAATACGAGATTTGGTGTAGAAAGATCTCCACATATGGTCAAGTATGACCAATCAAAGATTTAAGTCCATTGGTGTCCAATTCGGGTCAGCCGGGTTGCCCAGGCGCATGCCCTGTTTGATCGGGCCTGACCGGGTGCATGGCCTGGCACGCTGCCGAGCCGTACAGGCGCATGACCGAGCACATGGCCGGGCGCGTGGCGGAGAGCACAGGCATGGTGCCGGGCTACACGAGCGGCGCGACGAGCACGACGCCAGCTGCACGAGCAATGTGCCGAGCACAATGCTGACCCGCACGAGCAAGGGGCCGGTTCATGGGTCTAACACATCCATTGGCTTATGCATGGGCACAAGGCATGGCTCATGCCCAAGTCCATTGGGCACGGGACTAGATCGGAACTAGATCTGACGGGCACATTGCCTGGCACAAGGGTCAGGCACAATAACTGGTACACGACCGGATACATAGCCGGTTTGTGGCCTAGCTGACGGGCACGATGGCCGGTCATGTCTGGGCACGAGACTTGGCAGGAACGGCTGGCACATAGCCGAGCCCGCGGCCTAGCCATTAGGCTCATGGCCCGGCACATGGCTCGTCCATGGCCTACCCGACCTAGTGCGACGATCCGTGGCCGATTCGCGACCGGTCCACGTTCGAGTATCAACGACTCATGGTCGATCCTCGATTGTCATATGGTCTTGTGGAATCTAGTACCCCTGTGACATTCCGAATTTCGATCAATTTTTGGGATTTATAAAACGTATATTTCGTCGGTGCGCTTATAGTTAAATCTCGCCCAGAACTGATCACTCTCGGGTTATTTTTAAATTTAGGATTTTGCTAAAATCGCACTCGATCGAATTTGACCGTTATTTAGAGCACGAACTTTGGTGTCGAATTTCTCGGAGTTTTGTGACGAATTCAATCGGACAGTGTCGATATTATTGTGGCCAGCGTCGAGATTGCCCAGAATCATCGAAAAGTGAAATTTGGACCGGGTTTGGATTTTCACTAGTAGACCTCCCTCTTAGTATTTTTTAGTTAGTGTTTTTGATTTTTTTTCCTAATTTATAAATTAGGGTTTTTCGTGGACCGTCGGATCGACTTCGAGTTTGAACGTGGACCGTCGGATCGCACTCGAGTGGATTTGACTCTCTCTCTCTCTCT